GTAACTCAGCCAATAAGCCTAAAAACTGAAATGATGACACCAAAAAAATACTCACAGGCTAACACCAGTAATGTATAGCCTATGAGATACCCTTATATTCATTGATCTTGTACCCTAATTTCCAAAAATGAGGGATTAATAACAGCAGTCTAAAAATCATGATGAGCCCAACAGAGGATTACAAAACAGGTAAACTAAACTTGCTGTAAAAAAGGTAGGACAATTTTGAAAGACTACTGGATTACAAAACAGATAAAATAAACTTGCTGTGCACAGAAGACTAGCATATGGAATCAATCTAATACTGAAACAACTAACTTATTTTATTCCCATGGCTAGACTAAAGCTACAACACCTAGATCCGTGGAATCAATAATGATTTTAAATAAAAAGACACTTGAAACCCTAGAACCGTGGAACCAGTTGTTTAACTAAATGAACACAAACAGGCAGCCAGAACCCAATATTTAAGAGTCAAGTTTCATGCTGGAGCTAGTCTAAGAACCACATGCTACAGGGGAAAGAAGTTGACAAGAGTATGCCCAGTGTAATGCACAAGAACAGTCATTCAATCTCAGTTCGATTATCATAAATAACTCTTCCAATTAATGCATTATAAGACTTGTATTGGATATAATCTGCATTGGGTGTTCTCACTAAATGTCTACATAAATCCAAACACTATGTAGAGAGATAGGGAGTAGTTCATTTATGAATCAATTCCACAATCATTAACTTGTCGAATCCCAAATTATGAATTACGGTCTCTATTATAATGCTTAACTTGCATCAACCAAACCAATCCAACCTAACATGAGATCCAAAATCGTCCCTTCTTTTCAAATACTACAACCCATCCCCTACATGATCACTCTTAAAATTCATGTTACTCAAATCTAAAGAGGCAACAAGCCAATTACTCTCAAATTCCCAAAATACTTGAATTTAAAGAAGCAACAAGCCAATTACTCTAAAAAATCCATTTAACTTGCATCTAAAGAAGCAACAAGCCAAATTATTCGACTTTTCGCTTGCATCAAGTAAGATTAGTCCACAATTCTCCTACTATATTCAATTTTCAGCATACAACAATATTGTACAAACATAATTTCATCAAATCAGTCAAAAATAAAATCTAACAAATCTTGAATAAAAACCTAATAACCAAAACTTAAATTTCATAATACATAACATAAAGCTAAATCATCTAAAGAATACTAAAATTCCCTAAATTGATAAGCTTACAAGAGAAGGGTGTCGCAAAAGCGTCTTCTTTCGCAACGCCGAAGATCGAGTAGCACTGAAGCATTGCCGATACGCAGCTGCAAGAGGCTTCGGCGGCAAACCCTCGCTTGAGCTGCCATTTTCACCACAACCATTAACCTTGTTAAATTCCTCCATTTGACATACCATCACACATTCTCCAATTTTCTCTAAAACGAAATCAACAACAAACCCTAACCCTAGCTTCTTCAATCCCCAATTATATAACTTCTCCTTCAATTAAAACTCAAATTCAATTCAATTCAACACTCAAAGATCACGCCTTTCTCAAATTCTTGGAACAATTTATGAAGGTAATGCTTCAATTTTGCTAGATCTAAACCCTAATTTTACAAGACGTCGTAAAAATCAGATGGAAACCCTAAATGTGAAATTTTGGCAAATAAATCAAATTAAAGTAAATAGCATAATTCGGGGGAGATTGAATTGAATTGGGATTGGATTAAATTTATGGTATGATTCTGTGAACGAAATCAAAGATTTGAAATTTTAGGGAAGTTTTGGGGAATACGTGTCTATTAAAGGAACGGTGTTAAATTCGTGTAAAGGGTTTTAAGGGTGAGGATTTTTTGGGGTTTTTTTAATTGAAAAAGATAAGGTTAATCTCAATACAAAATCTATGAAAAAATGTCGGTTTATCCATGCAATCATAGATGCATTGTCATTAATTTACTTACGTTTTAAGTATGATGATCCAAAAAATCTTGATCAATATCAAGAACTTTGTACATGGAGTACATGAGTTTAAGAGTAATTTAATTTATAATATTTCGTACGGTATTTTTTGGATTGTATGTGAATGGATACAATGTATGAGTTTTTATAAATTTGTAAATATATTTTGAAAGTAATTGTAATATGATAATTTGACAAGTACCTTATGTAGATGTAATCATGGTTTAGGAGATAAACACAGACCCTTAATTTATTTTCATCTCATATGTGATTATGATTTAAGAGGTTTAAAATACAATTCATTTTCTTTTAAAGTAATTGGTCATAATACTTTGCATTAGAGCACTCCCGGCAGTGAGGAAAAAAGCCCTCACGAGTAAAAATAAAGGTGTAAAAAAAATACCCGAGCATTACGTTAGTGAAGGAAAAAACCCTCACCGTTGAGAGCTATGGAAAATGCACAAGAGTTGAGGGGAAATACTCGTGAACAGTAACCGGTGGGCCCCACATGTACACGCTGCTTTCCCTTTTTTTTCCTTTCTGGCTTGCAAAACGACGTCGTTGCCTTAAAGAAGGGCGAAACGACGCCGTTTTGAGGGGCAAAAAGGGAAAAAAAATAAGGGGGCAGCTGGCCTGACGCGCGTCAGACCCAGCCAATGGGGATGCGACACGCGTCAGGCTTTGTCCTTCCAACCAATCAGATTTTTTTGCTTTTATTACAACGGTTATATTTTTGTAAGGTAAATATAACCGTTGTAATTATAAAAAAAAAAAAAAACAAAATTCACCAACGGATAGATTTTTTTTTTTTCTCTATAAATAGACATGCATTTTGATATATTTTGATATACTTTCAAAAAACCCATAAATACTACAAATTTCCTTCTTTTCCCAATTTCTTTGAGTTATTTTCATCATTTTTATTATTATTATTATTCGTAAAAAAAAACCCTCAGTTATTATTTAGTATTATTATTATTATTATTATTATTATTATTATTATTATTATTATTATTATAATTATTATTATTATTACTAGTAGTAGTAGTAGTAGTGTTAATTTAAAAAAAGTAGTAGTTTTATTGGTATTCTTATAATTATTATTATTATTATTATTATTATTATTATTATTATTATTAATTTCTTTATTATTATTTCTGTTAAATTATTAATCCTTGAAAAAAATCGTATTATTATATTGTCAAAAAAAAGTAGTAGTATTATTATTGTTGTTGTTGTTGTTATTATTATTATTATTATTATTATTATTATTATTATTATTATTATTATTATTTTGCTAATGGATCCTAACAACCCAGATTTTTCTAATTATTTTTCTGATTTGGGTGATGATTTTGTCACTAACCCTCGATTTCAAACCTTCCTTCAACGAATAGCTACTCAATATCCACCGCAACAAACACCTCCTCAATTTCCACCACAACAAACACCTCCTCAATTTCCACCACCACATTCACCTCCTGTTTATCAAGGGAGCAATTCTCAATATGAAGATGAAATGGAAGAAAGTGTTCCAGATACTCCACAATACCCTCCACCTCCTCCAAGAGTGTCTGTCAATCAAAACCAACCACTTACAAAAGGGAGTCGAATGTGGTCTGTTGCGGAGGATGAAACTCTTATTGGTTTGTATCTGCAATTCAGTGAAGATGCAATTGTTGGTACAAACCAAAAAGCATCTGTGCTTTGGAGAAAAATTTCAGCGGCATATGATGAAGCGCAGGCTGAGAAACCTCACATTCTACCACCAAGACCTTTGAGGAGTTTGGAAAGTCGTTGGAGAAGGATGGCAGCTGATTTAATACAATGGAGTAGCTGCTATGACGAAGCAGGAAGGGTTACAGGAAGTGGCTACAACGAAGCAGATCGAATTAATAACGCCAGTAAGTTATTCTATGCTTCCTCCAAGCCTACTCAACATAATTTTAATTGTCACCATGGTTGGGAAATGGTTAAAAATGACCCAAAGTGGAGGACAAAACTTAGGTGGGCGTTGTCAAGAGAGGAAAGATTAGCTGTAGGTGATGCCGTCGAAGATGATAGTAGTGGCAGTGATAAGCGATGTAGAACCGTAGAGGAAGGTGATACACCATCCACGGGTTTCTGTTCTGGAGGTCTTCCTCGACCCGATGGTGTTAAAAAGGCAAAGGCCAAGCGTAATAAGGGAAAAGAAGTGGCTTCTGATTCTTCAACCATTGGTGAGCAAATGAAGCAGAATAATGCCTGTAGGGAAACAGAGGCACAAATACGGTTGAAGAAGTTGGATTTTGACATGGAAAGGGAGAGGAGGAAACAAAAACAAGTCGAAATTCAACAAAAACAAGTTGACATACAAGAGAGAAGGCTGAACTATGAAATGCTGCAAGATCTACTTTCAAAGGGTACTGATCTAACTCCCGATGAAGAGGCCTACAAGGAGGAATTACGTGCAATGCTATATGGTAGAAGGCACGTGTGACTTGGAGATGCAATGTGTTGGCTTATGTTTTATTTAGTTAATGTTAACTTTATGTTTTATTCAGTTAATTTAATGTACTAGTGTTTATTTAGTTTATGTTAAATTTATGTTTATTTAATGTTAAATTTATTATTAATATTCAGTCAATTCACGTGTTTTCTTAGTAATTTGAAATTGATAAAGCTGATATCTGATAAAGATACAATCTGACACGCGTCACATGTCACCTCTGCTCAAACATCAATAACACTGCACAATCACATGCTAAAGTAATGCAGTGAATTGTCACCTCTGCTCAAACATCAATAACACTGCACAATCACATGCTAAAGTAATGCAGTGAATTGTCACCTCTGCTCAAACATCAATAACACTACACAATCACATGCTAAAATAATGCATTGAATTGTCACCTCGAGTCACATGCAATTTCATTTCCACTTTAACTCACATGCAAACTTACCACTACCATCCAATAATGACTTTCACATTTTCTATATATACCTGTGTTATTATAAACGGAAACAATCCCAAACACACCAACTACCTAACCAAAATAAAAATGTCTTTCATTTCTTCCACCTCAAGCTCCTCTTCTGATGATTTCTCCAAAAATCATGAATTTGATTGCTTAGTTGATGAGTATGTAGCAAATCACCTACCTCATAGATTACTTCCTCCAGACCAACCACAAGAACCTCAACTAAATAATGAAACTGAACTATCAACGGAGCCCAAAAGGGATAGGGAAAGAGAAAAAGGGCATGTGCAACTATACAACGATTATTTCGCGAATAATCCAGTGTATAACGACAACCAATTCCGACGTAGATTCCGTATGCAACGGTCATTGTTCTGCCGCATTATGAGCAAAGTGGTTGAGGGGGATCAATTCTTCCAGCAACGTCGAAATGCAGCTGGGAAGCTTGGTTTATCACCGTTGCAGAAATGCACCGCTGCAATAAGAATGTTAGTGTATGGCGTAGCCGCAGACGCTGTGGATGAATATTTACGTCTCGGCCAAACAACCTCTAGGCAGGCATAGCAACATTTCTGTCAAGGGGTTATTTCACAATTTGAAAGTGAATATCTACGAAAACCTACAGATGAAGATTTAAGGAGAATCCTTCATCAAAATGATCTGCGTGGTTTTCCAGGGATGATTGGTAGTATAGACTGCATGCATTGGGAGTGGAAGAATTGTCCTACTGCTTGGAAGGCACAATATGCTGGTCGTAGCAAGAGTGCAACTCTCATTCTTGAAGCTGTTGCTGATCAGGATCTATGGATTTGGCATGCGTTCTTTGGAATGCCTGGGTCATGTAACGATTTGAATGTCCTTTACCGTTCACCGGTATTTGATGATGTTTTACAAGGTCATGCACCACCCATAAATTTTACGGTTAATGGACATCAATATGAGTTGGGCTACTACTTGGCCGATGGGATTTACCCGAGATGGCCAACTTTTATACAGGGTATAACACATCCTCATGTTAGAAAAGACAAGTTGTTTGCTGATCAACAAGTAGCAGTTCGGAAAGACGTCGAACGGGCTTTCGGAGTTTTACAAGCTAGGTTCGCTATACTACGACAACCAGCACTTGCATACGACGAAGATATTCTCTGTGATATTATGAAAGCCTGTATAATAATGCACAACATGATCGTCGAGGATGAACGACACAACTACGCACGTGCAGATGTTTTGAGACGATACTACGAAGAAGATCGACCACAACGTACGGTGAGGCGGGCAGACCCGAGCACAAGTGCCACGGTGTTTAACAACGAGCCATTTGAATTCAACGTCGGGCGACCACCCAACATTGATTTCAACACGTATTTGGAGAGAAGGATTTCCCTTCGTGATAGAGAAATTCATTCATCTCTGAAACAAGATTTAGTGGAGCACATATGGCAGAACTTTCGTCATAATGCGGTTGAATAAATAATTTTTTAGTTTGTTATTTGTAACCGTATCGTTATTTATGTTTTAATACTCGTGTTTGTATTTTATTTTAGTAGAACCACTTTTATCTAGTTCGTAATTGTACCGTTATTTAACATCCCATGTGTTTGTATTACCGTTATTGAAGTTCCCATGTGACTATTTAATGTGTTCATTACAAAAATGTGCTACTAATTCAAATGTTAAATTATAAATAAAACGTAATTGAAAAAAAAAAAATTATTAATTATAATTAAAACGTAATTGACAAATAAATAACAATCTTATTAAGTTATAATTGAAACGTAATTGAAAAATAAATATAAAAATTATAAATTTTTATTATATTATTTTTAAACGTAATTGAAAAGTAAATATAAAACTTATAAATTGTTATTAAATTATACATTTTTATTAAATTATTTTTAAACGTAATTAAAAAATAAATTATTTTCACATATTTTAATTGTATTGGAAAATTAAATATGTAGTATAAACATTATTTCAAAATAAAGATAAAATAAAAAGATGATGTGTATTATGGTGGGGTATAGTAAATAGTGGAGGAAAAAGTGATGAGAGGTTTTTTTTTCTCCTCATTGATGTAGTGAAAAAAACATTTGATGAAAGAAATTGTATGGGAGGAGTGAGAAAGTGGGTAGAGAGAGATTGAGAGGTTTTTTTTTTCCTCAATGCTGATAGTGGTCTAAGTTACTATCTATATATAAAGTTAATAGAACCCGTTTTTTTTTTAATGGAAATGATCACGTCCTCAACATAAGTCTTTGAGAAATGGCCTGATTTGAAGTTTTACCTTATTATTTGATAGATGTTACAAGGTAATTTTTTTTTTTTTAACATATAAATTGTTAAACACGATCAAAGTTAATTTTTACATCAAATGAGCCACAAGGGCGGATGATGAAAAAAATGAATAGCTAGTAGTTAGAACAATAAGGAATGTGTTTCAAAAAAGAACAATAAGGAATGAATATGTGTATATTTAAGATTTAATTGTTGATTGCAATCCATTTCAAAATTTACCAAGCTTGAATGTATATATAATTAGGTACTCAACCTTTCTCATTTTGTTATCCTTGTCATTTTGTCAATACTACTCTGTATATATCTTTAATTTAATATTTCTTATACGAGTCATCGAAATCAAGCCACCAAATTTGAAGGTTCAGGGTGCATTCTATTCACCTGATTTTTACTTATATGGACTTATCCTTATTAACCCCTTGGAGTTTATTTCAGTTATAAATTAAACTTTAGTAGCCCTGATTAACCCTTATTACAACTTATCTGAATTTATTTTCCTGAACTTATTAACTCTTATCTAAATTTATTAACCCTTATCTGAACTTATCAAAACTTATTAACCCTGAAATAAGTGGAAATAAGGCGAACATAACATGACCTCAGGTTAAGACTCCTTTGGTCATGTTGATGTACATCTAGTGGCTAATGATTTATATTACTGGTACATAACATTCAGAATATGTTGATGGAAGAATTATATAAATAAATTTATGAAAACGTAATTTTAATTTCACTTATTTTCTTTTTATTTTTCACCGCTAAACACATTAAAATATTTTTTTTTCGATAACCAACCAGAACATCAAAATTCAAATTAATCCAAAGATTCATTAAGAAAACATTGAATCTTAATTTTTAAGCCGTTTAATTTAATATCGACTATTCCATCATACAAAACTAAAACTTATGAACCTTCCATTTTTCTTTACAATGACAAAGACATGCCCAAATATCGTGGAGGTTTAAAGCATTATTCACACTATTGCATATATTATACGCAATCCAAGTTCATTACGTTTTCATCAAACAAAGGAATTAAAGTTCATTACGTTACACCTTTATGTTAGAATTAGAACTTTATAACAAAGGACAAAGCAATCCTCTACTTTGGAAGCAGTTGATTGACGGTAAACTAACTAATAAAGAAGAAAAATTGAAACTTCTTCTAGAAAAGTAATCAAGTTAATTGCATTTGCTTCTTCCTTTGTTAATTGGCTCAATAAGTAAGTATAAACCAAGAAGATGGGTGTTTAATGCAAAGAAGTTCCAAAATTGTTGGGCCACATTTGGGAATTGACCATTACACAAGTTTTGTCATTGAATTTTAATTAAAGAATATGCTCAACATGAGCCCCTTGATTTATAGTAGGAGTGAACATGGTTTGGTGTGGTGCGGTTTGAGTCCAAACCAAGCCAAATCGTAAAATACAGTTTGGTAAATTTTTCAAACCAAACCAAACTATATTAGTATTGAAATCAAACCAAATCAAACCGTAATAATACGGTTTGGTGCGGTTTGGTTTGCGGTTTATGATGAGATGATATTTTTTTTCCAAAATTTGTCAAATAATACTTCACTAATTTATAATAATGTTTAAATAAGTAACCCAAACGGATTAAATTGTACTACAAAGTTACAATAAAAAATATCAAGTGCTAACACATAATAAAAATAATACATAACAATAAAAGATATTCATATGAGTACTACATTATAGTCATTAATTATAGAGTATTGACTTTATAGTTTTTATCTATTTTTCATGGTTTTTTTTATTTATTCTTTAAATTTTTTTCTATAATATAAAAAAAATATTATTGAAAAATTATACTTATTGGTTTACGGTTTGGTTTGGTTTATAATTTTTGCAAAACCAAACCAAACCATAAACCATATTTACAAAAAAAATTGAGACCAAACCGTAATTTTATAAACCGTAAACTAAACCAAACCGCTAAAATACGGTTTGGTCTGGTTTGGTTACGGTCCAGACCAAACTGTGTACATCCCTAATTTATAGTACAATGAATCCAAACGACCATAACTAGCTAAGGGATGTTAATGAGCCGAGACAATTAGACTAATTGACTAAGGTTGAGGTAGCTTGGACTCTCATAACACTTCATTTAAATTCGAGCGGAGTCTTTAAAGCTTAAATTCTCATGTCTAACACATCTAAAAGCTTGCATTATAACCACTGTACTTTAAAGGTTGTAATTACTTCCTTTGTTTTTTTTAAAACTGTCATTTTGATAGCTGTTAAATTTTAAGAGGGTAAATTAAATTAAGTAATAATAATGTATCATGCCGTATTTTTTTCATATTAAGAAGTGTTGAGGCAGGACTTGACCCGTTTTCATATTTAGTTTGGACCATTGGGTCTTCTCTCTTTTTGTAGTATTTTTATTTAATATTTAATGAAGCCCAAAATTATTGGGTCACTCATAAACATCCTCTTGCTTGTAAGTACTATACTTCCAAATAGAAGTACAACCACATTCCTTGCAGTACCTTTCACTTTCCTATAAATACAACAAAGTTCGTACATAGTTGATCAAAACTTCAAAGGCTTACAAAATTGAGAGAAAAGTAAGATGAATTTATCAACGTATTGCTGCCACAATCCATTGCCTCCAAAATCACCCCTTGATCGTACTTCTTCATCATCTTCGCCTTCAAAGAAATATTTCTCATATGCTTCAAGGTAACTATATCAATTTTGAATCGTTTTATTGCTAAGTTTAGCCTAAAACCCGAGTTTCGCCTAGACATATAGCCGATATAGGATTTGAAACTCGGGTTTTGGGCTTTGTTTATTGTTAAACCCCAAGAAATAATATTGATTAGCAAGGGTGGACCGTTGGGTCACTCTCATTATTTTAAATTGCAAATAACACTTTTTTAGTACGTAGTATTTAATAAATGATTTTACTAAAATACCCTTATTGAAAGCGAATTATTTTTTAAACCATGACTAAGATTTATTGTATTGATTGATTTTTTGATTAGGAAAGGTAATGAGAATAAGTCATCATGGAGGAGCCAAAAGTTGATGGCAATTGCAACAACCATAGTAATTGGTCTAGAAGTAGGAGATATTTTAAGCAACAACAACGGAAATTATTCAATGGCTAGTCAACTTGAAATCGAATCTCGTTTACTTGTATCAAATACCGATAAGAAAAGAGGTGTTACAAAATGGAGTGACAAAAGAATGTGCCCACCATGGAACATTAATTCATTGGAAACTATTGTACCTGAAAATTTACCTAGGCCATCTTTCCATAGAAAATGGGAGGGAGTTTCTTTATCTCCTAAATCTGCTCCTTCAGTTAAACTTTTTATTATTAAGCCAAGGAAAAATTGTTTTTCATTGTGAAAATAGAACATGTACTATACATTCTCTCTTGTACATATATATGCAACAAAATTTATGCTAGTTTGGCTTATAACGTGTTTACATGTACTCGTATATATATATATATATATATATATATATATATATATATATATATATATATATATATATATATATATATATATATATATATATATTCTTTTGGATGAATTCATGGATGTAACTATCTCAATTCACGTCGGATTTCAGTGTTGACACATTGCTAGCATGTGTAACTTTTAGTCTGTTGTGTGCACCTAGAGATGGAAACGATTGGTTAAGCACTCAATGAAAATGGCCCGACTTGACACAAGCCTGTTATAAGTCCGGCTTAACTAGTGGGCCATGGGCTGTGCGTGTTTAAAATAAACTGGCATGAACTCAACACGAGCACGTTGACCCAATATGCAGTTTTACCCGCTTATATTTTATGTGTCGTATTACTGGGATGTGCTCTCTATTTACGAAATATCAACACGAGCCCAACACAACATGATTAGTATTTTTAAAAACTCATTTTAGGCATTGTCCATTTAAGCACGAGATACACTAACACGACACAAGTGCACCAAAGTACATACGTTGTGTTTGGATGTTGTTGCTTTGGCTGGAATATTTTTTTTTTATTTTAACGTAATCCATTTTAGGCGTGGTCCACTTAATCACGACACTAACACAACACTCGTGCATGAAGTACTCATAGAATAATACAACATACACTTATGGAGTATACATTGAAGTAGATCAAGTAGAACATTTTGTAGTAGTTAGTACAGAAATTAGCTGATCTAAGAAAAGGGTGTACTACAAAGTAGTACAAGTTTGCCAGTTTGGAAACTTGTTGGACAGATTTGGACATGACGGCAAATTCTCAATGAAACAAAACAAGTGGTTCGTTGTTGGGGTCGGCTAGTTGCTCACAACCTCCTATGAATATAATTTTATTAGGAAAGATAACATAGTATCTTTACAAAATCATACGGTTAGGCAAGATATATTTATTTGCTATATATTCTATCTTATCTTAGGAAAGGATAGTTTGTTTCCTAATAGGATTATATTTGCTAATTCTATTCCTTGTAGCTCAAGGAGATGACTTGTATAAATATTTGTGATCTTGGAATAATATGATCAAGCTTTGAGTTTCAATCTTAACATGGTATCGGAGCTAAGGTTGCTTCAAATAACAAATCTTTAAATTTTTTTTTAAAATCCGGCCACCATGGCTGCCAATGACAGTCCACCGCCACCACCTCCAACAAAAATTGAGTCTAACTCTCCTTTTTACCTTGGCCCCAAGATCGTCCCGACGATTTTATAACATCTCAACGTTTAAAACTAAACAATTTCAATGACTGGTCCCATGCGATTTTTATTGCTTTGTCTTCAAGGAGGAAATTCGGATTCCTCGATGGTACGATCACAAGCTACACACCCCCTTGTACAAAGGATGATTGGGTGACGATACATTGTATGCTTGTGTCTTGGCTTATGAACACGATTGATCCGGAGGTTCGGTCCATGCTTTCTAATTATGACAATGCTAAGAAGCTTTGGGATGATTTACACGAACGATTTGGTCTCGTTAATGGCCCTCGAATTCAGCAAATAAAATCCGAAATTAATCGGTGTGAACAAACCAAATTAATGCCAGTTGCTGTTTACTTTAGCAAACTCTCTGTTTTATGGGATGAATTGGACAAGCACGAGCCTCTAATTAATTGCAAGTGCGGTAAGTGTACTTGTGATGTTGGTAAGCAACACGCAAATCGTCATGAAGGTGATCGACTTCAACAGTTTCTGCTCGGCTTATACTCTGATTATTATGCTGCTCTTCGATCCACTCTACTATCCCAAGACCCTTTGCCCTCTTTGAACCGTGCTTTTCAAACAATTGCACAGGAAGAACGTGTTCGCGGCATTGCTCACATCAAAGAAGAAACCCCAGAGGTGGCTGGTTTTGCGGTTCGTATGGAAAATAATTCCAAACCGCGCCTTTCCCGAGCAGAGAGGGCTGCTCTTGTCTGCCAGCATTGCCATAAAAAAGGGCATGATGCCACAACTTGTTTTGACAAACATGGAGTTCCCTCGTGGTATGTGGAAAAATATGGGTCGAAGGATGATTCTCGTGGAGCAGGACGTGGGAGAGGTGCGCCTGTCAAGGCCAATGCAACACCTACGGCTGCACCTCCACCCCAAAACAATTCGGCCTCGGCTACTACAATGCCGCATCTAACCCCCGAGAAATGGCAAGCCGTGATGGCCGTTATGGGTAACTCTCCACATCCATCTCACCGTGTGAATGGTAAGTGGATTATTGACACCGGATGTTCTCATCATGTGACCGGTGATTTTTCTTGTCTTATGGACGTTCATGACGTCCCGTCTTGCAATGTTGAACTTCCGGATGGCAACAATGTGATTGCTATGAAAGAAGGCGTTGTAAAAATAACAGACAAAATTATTCTTCCCAATGTGCTTTATGTTCCTAAATTAAATTGTAACTTGATTTCGGTTTCACAATTATGTTCTACTAATAATTGTGAAGTCATAACTAACTCTCAATTGTGTACTATACAGGACCAACGCACGAGGGAGGTGATTGGAATGGGTGATCTCAAGGATGGACTATATTATCTACGGGAAGATGCATCTATTGCGGCTATTTCAGTTGAAGATACATTGAAACTTTGGCATAAACGGTTGGGACATCCATCCGAAAAAGTTGTAAAGCTACTACCTTTTCTTAGTAATTTTAGTGGTCATTTAAATAAAAATTGTGAAGTGTGTCATCGTTCTAAACACACTAGAGACAAATTTCCTTTAAGTGATAATAAAGCTTCCCGTATTTTTGAAATAGTACATTGTGATCTTTAGGGTCCTTATGCCGAACCTTCATCTTGTGGTGCGCATTATTTTTTGACTTTAGTTGATAATTATTCTCGTGCCGTATGGATATATTTATTAGTTGATAAAACTGAAGTCTTCAAGATCTTTATGTCTTTTATTGCTATGATTGATAGGCAATTTTCCCAGAAAATAAAAATTGTGAGGAGTGATAATGGTACCGAATTTTTTTGCTTGAAAAATTATTTCCTTGCCCAAGGTATATTGTTTCAAACCTCTTGTGTAGGAACTCCTCAACAGAATGGGAGGGTAGAGAGAAAACATCAACACATTCTTAATGTTGCTCGTGCCCTTCGTTTTCAGGGGGGGTTACCAATTTATTTTTGGGGGGAATGTGCTCTTGTTGCGGCTCATATTATTAATAGAACACCTTCTATCCTCTTAGGAAATAAAACACCTTATGAGATGTTATTTGGCTCCCCTCCTCTTTTTAGTGAGCTACGTGTTTTTGGGTCTTTATGTTTTGCTCATAATCAACGGGCTAAAGGTGATAAATTTGCAAGTCGTAGTCGTAAATGCATATTTGTTGGATACCCTTTTGGGAAGAAGGGATGGTATTTATTTGATCTTGATAAAAAGGAATTTTTTGTGTCTCGTGATGTTCGTTTTTTTGAGGATGTGTACCCCTACTTGGATGCCGAGAGTACTAATATACACATAGCCACGGATGGAATTAATGCCACAAATAATATGGAGGATGACCCTCCTTGGTTTGACAGTGACGACGGACTGCCACCACATCAGCCCGTGGCTGCCCCTAGCCCTGCCACGCAGGCAGCAGCGCCCAGCACCACGGCCACGGCTGCTGCCCACTCCGGCAGTCCCGCCGCCCCTGTCCTGACAGCAGCTCCTGATGAAGACCCCACGGCACCCGACTTAATGGGGCGTGGGCATCGACCAAAATTCCCGAATCCCAAATACCGGGATTTTGTCACTCATACTCAAGTTGCAAGAAATAGTCCATCCGAAGCATCACCCAACCCAATTGCTACTCCTCCCTCAGGTATGTCGTATCCTATAGCACATTATGTTAGTTGTGATAAGTTTTCTGCAAAACACCGAAATTTTGTTGCAGCTATTACAGGTGGGAAGGAGCCACGATCCTTCAAAGAAGCAATGCAAGATCATGGTTGGAAGATGGCCATGAAAGAAGAGATGTGTGCCTTAGAAACCAATGACACATGGACTTTGGAGAAGCTCCCTCCCGGAAAAAAGGCTCTTGGGAGTCAATGGTTGTATAAAATAAAATACAACTCTGATGGTAGCATTGAACGATTGAGGGCGAGATTAGTTGTCTTTGGTAATCATCAAACTGAAGGCATTGATTATGATGAGACTTTTGCCCCTGTTGTTAAGATGACCACGGTTCGTGCATTTCTAGCTATTGCCGCCGCAAAAAATTGGGAGTTGCATCAAATGGACGTTCACAATGCGTTCCTTCATGGTGATTTGGAAGAGGAAGTGTACATGAAGCTTCCTCCGGGTTTTACCACTGATGAGTCGGGTCTTGTTTGTCGGCTTCGGAAATCTTTATATGGCCTCAAGCAAGCTCCTAGATGTTGGTTTGCCAAGTTGACTACGACCTTGAAGAAGTATGGTTTTGTACAATCATATTCGGATTATTCCTTGTTCACTTACACAAAGGGATCGGTTCAACTCAATGTTCTTGTGTATGTGGATGATTTAATTGTTGCAGGGAACAATTCTACAGCTTTGAAATTGTTCAAAAATTATTTGAACACATGTTTTCATATGAAGGATTTGGGAGTTCTTAAATATTTTCTTGGCATTGAGGTTGCAAGAAGTAGTATTGGATTATTCTTATGTCAACGCAAATATGCTCTTGATATTATTTCGGAAACAGGTCTTTTAGGGTCAAAACCGGCTATGACTCCTATGGAACAAAATCACCACTTGGGTCGTGCTCAAGGACCGATTCTTGCAGACCCGGAGCCCTATCGTAGGCTAGTTGGTCGCCTTGTGTATTTGGCAGTCACTCGGCCAGATTTAACGTATTGTGTGCATGTCCTTTCTCAATTTATGCAAGCCCCTAAACAAGCTCACTGGGAAGCAGCATTAAGGGTGGTACGGTACTTGAAGAATACCCCGGGGCATGGCATTCTCTTGCGCACGGATAGTGACCTCACGCTTGAGGGTTGGTGTGACGCCGACCGGGCTGCCTGCCCATTGACTCGTCGGTCTGTGTCGGGGTGGTTGGTCTTTCTTGGCCACTCCCCGATTGTGTGGAAGTGCAAAAAGCAACCTACGGTTGCCACATCTTCTGGTGAGTCCGAGTATCGGGCAATGTGTACTATGACGATGGAGATGAAATGGTTAAAGGGTCTTCTTTTGAGTCTTGGAGTTCAACATCCTCAAGCTATTCCAATATTTTGTGATAGTCAAGCGGCAATTCACATAGCTCAAAACCCGGTGTTTCATGAACGAACAAAACATATTGAAGTTGATTGTCATTTTGTTCGGGATGTAATTCAAGAAGGCTTAATTACTCCAAGGCATGTGAGTACAAATGAACAACTTGCGGATATTTTTACGAAGGCCTTGGGTAAACAACAATTTGATTATCTCCTTAGCAAGTTTGGCATCTTTGATCCAAGTGCTCCAACTTGAGGGGGGGTATTAGGAAAGATAACATAGTATATTTACAATATCATATGGTTAGGCAAGATATATTTATTTGCTATATATTCTATCTTATCTTAGGATAGGATAGTTTGTTTCCTAATAGGATTATATTTGCTAATTCTATTCCTTGTAGCTCAAGGAGATGACTTGTATAAATATTTGTGATCTTGGAATAATATGATCAAGCTTTGAGTTTCAATCTTAACAAATTTTGATTAAATAAATTCTAATTATATCCTATATAATTTTGATGATTTAAATTCTAATATAATTTTGACCTCAATTCAGTGATAGGTTAAGGATTTCTACTAGGGTGACACTATAGATTAAGGATTGGGTGACACTATGCACGCAGTAGATAATTAAAAAAAATCTCAAACAAGTAGTAACCTGTAATAAAATATTTTAGGTAGCATTCAAAATTCATATTGTATATATTATTGTTTCAATTCAAGACTTTCTCTCTTCATCTAATACTTTCTCTCCTCAAATCTTCTCTTTCTTTATCTAAATTCATGTAAACAAATGCAGACCGACTGATGACGAGTTAGAAAGGAAATTATGCTTATGTTCAATCGTGAAAACTACCGCAGATTCTATGCTACTCCTGGAGTACCGTGTGCATGGTACTCCAAGTTTATAAAATAAGTATATGTTTTTTTTTATCTATAGTAATATGTAAAGTGAAAGGGGGTTTTGGGTGATAAATTTCACTTTCCCAAAATACCCCTTTCATCTTTTATAATTTTCAAAAGACTACCATAATTTAAAAAATATAACTACCATTTTAAAAAAAAAACAAAAAACAAAAAAACTACCACCCTTTAATTTATTTTACTTTAAATTTTTTTTTGAGGGAAATCATATTTTGCATGAACATTATAATGTACTCATATCTTACATTTTAACCTCTATGATTTCATCAATTTATAAACCTACTGATATTTTTTTTATTAGAATAAGGTAGATAATATTTTAGGAAAAAGAAAGAGAATCGAGTCATGCATATTAATTTCTTATGTTGCACACGCAATTTGCGTGTGTCTTATATCTTGTGATGTTTTAATATGAACTTCTTGTTATTTCAATTTATATTTGTGTTATTTTTAAATAAGTATATGTTTTCCTATATTTGCATGTTGTTTTTTTTTTCAACATTGATCCTTTCACTGTACTCCAGATTTATAAAATTTATGTTATTTTGATGTAAACCTCTTATTATTTCAATTTATATATATGTTATTTTTTAAATAAGTACATGTTATTTTAATAAATGCATGTTTTTTTTTATACATGATGTTAAAGTAAATAAGTGAATAACATATTATTTTAGCAAAATAACATAAGGTTTTAAGCAAAATAACATAAGACTTAGGCAAAATAACTCAAGTATATTAGGTATGGAGTAATGGAGTACCGTGATCCAGGAGTATATAATACTAATTGGAACACTACCTATGTCCCTTATCTACATGCTTATTTCTCATTTTTCATGGGGATTAAAGAACTTAGAAATTCCGAGTAAAGTATAAATAGGTCCCTAACGTTTGGCAAAAGTTTTATTTTAGTCCTTAACGTTAAAAAAAGTTTGGTTTTGGTCCCGCTACCAGTGGCCTAGCACCACTTTTGGTGGTTACTTTGATGACTGAACCAAACATTAGGGACCTTTGATGTAGATTGCACCAAACAATAGGGATTTTTTTCCTTTTTTTTTTGGCAATTTCTTGTTGAGTAGACCAAACATTAGGGACTTGCGATAATTTTATGGAAAATTTGTCAAGAATAATATGACCTTTCAGCGGTCTTCCATAAATAGAACGACCTTTGGATTATTTTAAAATGAAACGACCTTTGATACACATTTGCCATAAATAGAACGTGACCTGTTAGTAACCTGTTTAGAAGGTTATCAGTGACACGTGTCACAATGTTGTTAGTCAATTTATTTAACAATTTTTTTAAAATTTAAAATAAAAAAATACTTAAAAACTAAAACTGAATTTTTTTTTTTTAAAAAAAAAAACCTCCCCCTTGCAGCCACGCAGCAGCCACTCGACCACCATCTGCTCTCCCCCTCTCCACCCCCGGTCGGCGGTCTAATCCCTCTACCCGGCGACGGCGCATCCCTCCTAACCCAAATCTCGAGCCTACACGCCCTCCCCTTCCCTTAATAAACAACCTTCCCTCCACCTTATAACCCCCTCCCTCCTCTTGAAAACCCACCTCTCCTCACCGTGCGGCCGACCGACGCCCCAACCCTTTCCCCTTTGGTGGCGAATCCATCACGCCCCTCCGGCGCCCATCTCCAATCCATTCCTCCCCTGAAC